TATCATCATTACATGTGCTGTGTAGGTTTGGTTGTTGCAAAAAGATGGCGACATCTTGCTGCCGTCGACTGCTGCTGTTGCCGCAACGGTTCAGGTGTTTGCTTCCGAGATTGTGGTTGTGTATTTTCCCAAGAATAAATTGGTGCTGGTTTGATGCTCTCTCTCTCTCCCTCTCTCTCTCTCTCTCTCTCTGTGTGTGTGTGTGTGTGTGTGTGTGTGTGTGTGTGTGTGCAGGCTTAATTATTTTCAGGTGAGGAACAATATATGTGTGTTGTTTGGTTTGGTTTGTGGTTGCAATAAGAAGTGCTTGATGTGTCTGTGGGTGTAATGAGAGTGCTGCTTGCCAAAGCTAGTGAAACAGCATAGTTAATATAGTGTTGCCTCTGAGTTTCAATCAAGGGAAGGGATTGAAGTTGTGGAATCTAATCACGGTCCTTTTGGCTTGATGTGTGTGTTACTTGGATCTTCAAGTGGCCGGCCGGGACAAGCGATCATTTCGTACCAGAACAGAGCAGAGGAGAATCAAGAAAGTGCAATGTGTGTCCCATATCCCGTACGTACGGCACAGGGTACAGCTTCAAGCTGCATTTCGTTCCAGTAGCTAGCTTTAGCCTTTGTGCAGATGGGTGTTGCGGCCAGTCTCTGCTCTCTAGCAGACAAGAAGCACGGCGCACGAGACGACGGGCCTTCAGATCTGCACGGCAACTCCGGCGAGGGTATGGACTATGGAGAGAGAAGATCAAGGCCCTCACCAGCAACTGCTGTGGCAGGTATCGACCTGCTCTGTTTCCTGGACAGTCCGGCGGGAACGAACTCAGTTTATCATCGTTAGCTGAAACGAACTCAATTTGCAGATGGGATGTTTATGTTTTGTAGCACTGACTGACCTGTTGATGATTATTTCAGTTGTCCAAAGAAAAAGGTTCATATCCGGTTGAATTCCATTGAAGAAATCAAATCCTGTCAGATTGTTGGTCACACCTTCCCGCAGAAAGAAAATGAAGTTTGTTGCTCACACCTTAGGGGAAGTTGTAGTCATCAGTGTCTATGTACTTCCTCCGTTCCTAAATATAAGTCTTTCTAGAGATTTCAATATAAACTACATATGGATGTATATAGATATAGTTTAGAGTATTTTTTTTAGAACGTAGACGCTAGAAGCGTCCGGCTTTAAATTAATAAAGCCACAAGGCAGCATCCACACATAGTTTTAAACCTTACAGACCAAGAAGGCGTAAGTTCCTCAGGCTCGACGTCCCGGCATAAGCTAAGCAGCATGTAGTTTAAGAACACAAAAGCGGAGCAAAACATAAAGTTCCTCGCAAAAGTCTCAAGCTGTCGCTTCTCCTTGTCGCGTCTTCAGCATGGTTAGCTTGATCTGCTCCATAATCCCGGTCATGCGGTCCTCATCACTCGTCTTCCCCAACGGCGCCCAAGCCTGTAGAAAAATATGGCATTTGAAGATAACATCAGTTGGGTGGGCAGGGAACTTGTGCTCTATCGTGATTTTGTTCTGAACCAACCAAAGAGACCATAGCAACGCCCCTACACATCACCAAATGACCCTTGCATTGGCACCCCTCTGCACCGAAAGCAAGGTCAACAGGTTGTCACTAGACTGAGGGTTCCAATTCTGCTTGAACGCGTCCCTAACCGCACTCCACGCAAATCTAGCGAGAAAACAACCGAAGAACACGTGGTTTGCGTTTTCCCCTAAGCCGCAAATGGCACATGTTCCGTCCGCGGGCCCATTTCGTTTGGCCACGTTATCCGAGGTTGGAAGACGGTTGCGGAACAATTGCCACATAAATTTTTTGATCTTTAGTGGAATGCCGGCCTTCCATAGCCCCCTAGCCATGTCTAGCGCGGTGCCCTTAGTCAACTTATCGTATAGAGACTTAACCGTGAACTTCCGGCAGGCAGTAAGCTTCCATGAAATTGTGCTAGTCTCTTGGCTAAGATTCCGCCCATCAAGGTCGGCCACCAGTGCGGACCAGCTAGCGGCCTCCCCTTCCTCTAGAGCCCGAAAGAAAGTAATCGCCGGTGGGTGAACTCTCAGGGCGTTGGCTACCAGAATGTTAGTGTTCGTGGCAAGTTGGTATAGCTCCGGATGAGTTTGCCACAACGGTGCTTGACCCCACCAACAGTCAAGCCAAAACTGCGTGGACTTGCCATTATTAACACTAAACTGGGCCCCAACCGAGAAGGCCGGTCTCACCACTTGGATCCCATTCCAAAACGCCGAGCCATTGATTTTTGCCTTGAATAAATTTCCATCCGGGAAGTATTTCGCCCGGAGGATGTCTGCCCAGAGTCCCGACTCATTTTGGGCAAGGCGCCACCACCACTTGGTGAGCAAAGCAACATTCACGAGCTTATAATTCATAATGCCCAAGCCTCCGAACTTTTTTGGTCTGCACACCGCAACCCATTTCACCAAGTGGTATTTGCGTTTGGTCCCGGTTCCTTCCCAAAAGAACCGAGATCGCGGATTATCAAGCTTAGCATGGACACCATCCGCGAGCAGGAACATCCCCATTGTGAATAGTGGGAGAGAGGACAGGCTCGAATTGGTCAGGATCAACCTAGTTGCCGAAGACATAAACCTACCTCTCCACGGGCTCACTCGGTTGGCCACTTTGCCATAGAGTGGCTCCCATTCAGCTATGGCAAGTTTCTTGTGCGAGATTGGAAGGCCAAGGTATTTAATCGGAAAGCTCCCAAGCTTGCAATTAAGCAAATTGGCGATCTGCATGCTTTCTTGATCAACCATCCCAATGGTGATCACTTCGCTCTTTAGGAAATTGATTTTAAGCCCCGACAAGATCTCAAAAGCGAGAAGCAGTAGCTTGATCGAGGGGATACTATGGTCATCGGGTTCAAAAAGTAACATCGTATCGTCCGCGTATTGCAGGTGAGTAACCCCGCTTGGGATTAGGTGGGAGACCAGCCCTTTAATGTGTCCCGCAGCTCTGGCTTTGTTGATCATGGCCGCAAGGGCATCCGCAACAAAATTAAAAATAAGTGGCGAGCTTGGGTCTCCCTGCCGAAGACCACGTGTGTTGAGGAAATTTTTTCCTGTTGAACCATTGATGGTTACTGCCGTGTGCCACTACACACGAGGTGCATGATGCGGCGCACAAATCCCGCCTGAAATCCCTTTTTGAGGAGGACCTCTCGCACGAACTTCCAGTTCACGCGGTCGTAGGCTTTCTCAAAATCTAACTTAAGTAGCACACCATGTGCCTTGGTACGTTTGAGCTCATGAACTATTTCTTGTAGCGCAATGGGTCCTTCTAGGATGTTTCTGTGTTTAAGGA